TTTCCCTATTTCCCTTGCCTTGACCAGAAACAGAAGCTGAACACTGTTGCTCAGATTCAGACCCTCCTTTTTTGTTCTTGTTATTTATTCTTTTTCCTTTTCCAAGGTGAGGAATAACAGGGGCACTTATGACACCCTTATGCTGGGTCAGGTATAGCAAGAATCAGCTCCCAGCCTCCTAAAATCCCCTGGTGGTGCTCTGACTCCTAGTTAAATAAGTTTTCTGGGACTGGATGACTTCAGGATTCACTTTTCCCCTCTGAAAAGTAGGTGGGACTGTGGGGGAGGCACTCGGAAGGGAAGTATTGATGAGAATCCAGGTGGTGCACATCTCATCAGGGTGTTCCATTTTAAGGCTGGGGATCTTAACGCCTTTCCTTCAGTGGAGGAGGGAGGTGACTCAAAAGCACCTTTTGGTTCTTGTAATGATTTGTGAGGTCAGTCGATGGCTTTGGCTACAGCAGAAGGTGTGACAGGATTATACTGAGGCAATCTGTTTCCTTTCTCTCCAAAGGAACAAAAAAGCAGGAGAAATAGTTTAGAAGTAGATTAAAACAAGAAGGACAAGAGCCTAGGGAGAAAGGATGAAGGAATGAGTCCTGTGGGAATGAGATGGTCTGTCCTTCCTGCTGGCTTAGCTGGTCCTTCCCTTTGCTTCCAGCTCCTTTTAGAAATGTTGTTTATCCTTTTAAAGTTTCAGAAGGGAGGGGAGAGCTGAGGGTGAGCTCCCTGCAGAGCCTCCCTGGGGAAGGGCAAACTGGGCAGTGCAAGTCTGCATCAGAAATAGCTCTGGGAGGCAGATGTGAATGGGAGGAGGGGGGAACGCCTAAATGCAAACCAAAGGAGATGGTCTGCACAAGAACCAGCTGTGGTACCAAGCCTAATAGGATGCTGCTGGGGTGGAGACGCTTTAGCTGGAAGCCTCCTTTGAGCCTCAAGAAGGATTCCTGGGACCAAGAGCTTTAGGTTTGTTTAGAAACTGGTCATCCCCCAAACAGCAAAAATAACCCTGGCCTGACTTAGCCAGCAGCCTGTGTTGCAACAGTACCAGACTCTGCATGAGTCAGGAAGAAAGCCGTAGGAGAGGAAGGGAAAGGATGGCACCGTGTGGGCTGCCACAGGGTGTGGTGAAGAAAGCACAGGCTGCTACCACCTCCCGAGGCAGCATCCTTACCCCACTCTCTTTTAAATAAGTTGTTCTTATTTCTGTACAGGTTCAGGAGTCACTTCCCCTCTTAGAAGTATGTGGGACTGTGGGGGAAGCACTCAGAAGTACTGACTGGCATCCAGGAGGAGCAGATCTTTGGCGTTTTGAGGCTAGAGGGAAGAGCGAGGTGACTATGTGCAACACGGGTTTGCTCTTACCTTGATGGGAGTGGCGACTTCTGGGCTGGCTACCACTAAAGGGGAGATTAACAGCATGCCTGAAAACTCACTGGGTCTCTCACTGGCTGTCAGGATGGAGATGGCTCCCCCCTGCAATGCAAAGTAACAGCCCACAGCTTAATACAGGTGTCAACATCCCCTTTGTACAGTAATCCTGTTACTGGAAGGGATTTAGTCGAAACAAGCAAATTATTTCTGCCCCAACGAGAGTGGTCAGTGAGGAACACTACAGGAGCAGGGCCACTGGAGTGTCTGGGTTTTGCGGGAGAGAAGAGACCTGGTTTCTGTTCCCATGCTATAAACCCTCCCATCACACTGAACTCAACTCTCCGTGCAATGTCTGTCAGCTCCATAGGATGCCTTGTGTCCTCCTCAGTTAAAAGGACTAAAAAGAAATGTCTGAAATGGTTGTTCAGGTGAGACCTGAAAAATAAGTTGAGGCTCTATCAGCGTGACTGGAGTTGCATTGGGATGATGCCGTGGAGCCAGGCTCGCGCTGTGCTTGTGGCTCTGGTAACCTGAGCAACAGCAAAGCCACCCAAAATCCTCACTAATTACTGTTAGTTCAGTGTTCTCCTCTTCAGTGTCCCCACACTCCAGCCCCACAGCACTGTGCCCAGCGAGCACCCAGCCCCTGGTTCAGAGCTGAACACCAGCCCAGCTGAGCCCTCCTGCATGAGGACAGGGCTGATGGGGACGGACGGGACCTGGCCGGCTTCCTCGGGAAAGTTTGCAGAGGATTAGTTGCCAAGGGGAATATTTGGTGAACTTCCATGCTCCTGGAGAACCAGGGGCTTGTTAACTGGAGTGGCAGCGCAAAGCACCCCAAAGACCTTGCTGGGAAATTAGCTCCTTGTTAGAGCGGCTTTGGAGCCTAGTGAGCACCTCGGAGCATGCCATGCCTTCTTACGCAAGAACACTTGTTTATCTGAGCATAGGCTGAATCCCAAAGTACTTATTCATTTTCTTCTCCTCTGGGAAGGCAGGGAGAGCAGATCAATGACATCAGTGGGAATACTGCTAGCTTGAATAAAGGGATTTGGCCCGTGCTGTCAGAACCAGACTTCAGATCTGTTCACCAAATCAGTGCCTTTGTTTTTGCAGCCCTAATCCCTTGTACATTTTCCTCTTAGGTTGTTGAATAGAATGAGGCTACAGGGCATTTTCGTGTTTCATCCCCTAGCTGCTCACAGAGCTTTGGAAGGCTTAACCTCCTGGTTACTGGGTAAAATGAAAGGAGAAGCCTAATGCTGCAGGGATGTGGTGGGACTTACTGTGTACCTCGTGTGAACGAAGGGTCCTATTAAAAAATAGGCCTATTGTTGCAAATAGCACTAATTAGGGCCATGATCTGAGTAGAAATGTTAAGGATTGACTATACTCCAGATGGAATTCATGGGGTAAGGCAAGCTGGCAAAACAGGCAGTGAATGAAGCGGAAGGGAAGGTTGCTTGTGGCTTTCTTTTTCCTGCTGTGGGCTGAGTTACTTATTTCCTGCCATCCATAAGAATACCCCCGTGCAATGGCACGTGTCCTGGTGCTGCAGGAGGGGTAGGGGATGGTGCTTACCATGGAGTGCCCCAGGATGAGAATGGGCAGCTCGGGGTGCTCTTTCTTCATGAGATCAATGTGCTGCAAGCTGTCTCTGATGAAGACGTGGAAATCTGAGACAACCATACGATCGCCCTCGCTCTGCCCATGGCCAACTGTAGGGGAAAAGCAGAACATGCATGTAAGTCACTCAAAGCAGTGGTTGCAATCAGGAAAGGTTTTAACAGAAACATGCCTGTTGGACTGTTACTGTCCTTACTTGACCTTCTCCTGCAGTCATCGCTCAACAGAAAGTGCTGCAGGAGTACAAAGGAAGCTGCACAGAGCTGTTTGTAAAGCACCAGCCTGTCCATGGTCTGATTAAAAGAAATCGTAGACTCCCCTGTGTTTCTACCTGCTCTTCCAAACTAAGAGTGCAGATCTAATCTCTTGCAGATCTAATGAGCATCAGGGTGAGGAGAGCGGAAGGGTTGTGTTGCCTTGCTGTAGAGATGGGGGGGTCATTGCATCCTGGGAAATAGAGTTTTTCCCAGGGATCATGGCTGCTGAGCTCTGAGGACTCACTGCACAGCAATAACTGCTGTGTAGAGTCTTAGCAAGACACAGGAAAATTCCAAAGACTAGATGTGCTGCTATAAACTTAATGGGCCATGGCCACAGCCTTTTCCAGTGCCTGGATGTGCACGGGCTTTGCAGAGTCCTGCTTTTTCTCCCAATACCCTGGAGTGCTGGGTGGGCTGGAAGCCTTCCCTGGTAGGAAGTGAAGCGCTCTCAGCAGAGGACAAGGGATGGAGGTTGCAAGAGACTCCAACAGTGGGCAAGTACCAAGTGGCACACTCCTCCTAAACAAGTGCTAATGCAAACTGTGCTGCACCTGGGCACTGTTAGCTTGTTCTGTATCTGGGAATTATCTGATCTGTATCTGATCAAAGGGAAGGGAAAGACTAAAATGGGAGCTGGTGAGTTGCTATGGGAACAGTGGCATCCCTGGCAGAGCAGGAGCCAGCATCGCCACCAACACAGTCCCAGGCAATTTTGAGCTTGCAAAGGCTTGAAATTAATAACCGCCCTGGGGAAGCAGTTTGCATGTTCACCTGGCCACACATACATGTTGTTAGCTAGCACAAATAGGATTCCTCCTTAAAAACAGGCTCCTTGCTTGTTGCTGGTCCATTCAGGTTGTTAAGCAAAACTGTGATTGGGAAAACAGGTCCCATCCATATGGGATAGGGCATAGGGAGTCTCAGACATCTCCCTGCTGCTGTGTCTCCCTAGGCCTTCTCCAGTGGGCACTTAGGCACACGTAAAGGCACAAAGGGACAATGACTTGTCGAAGGATGTGAAGTGCCTGATAATTGTTCTCATGCTGGATGGTACCCCCTCTAGTGAGCAGCAAAGCAAAGCATTGCCACCCAGCCTGAAAGGTACAGAGCTGCTAGCAATAGTCAGAAGAAATCAGTGTCCTGTAAGACAGCCAAAGAAAAGCACCCTGCAAATTTGGCAGAGCTGGACTAAAGACACTCCATCTAAGAAACTCTGAGCTGCAGACTTCTTTTGTCCTGCCAGGTGCTCGCCAGAGCTGGGAACACTGCAATCAGCCATGCTGGCTGCCAGGTACACCCAATGATGGCATGCTGGCCTATAATAAATTACATGGTACCGCTTCTGCTTTCCATGCACATGCTCCAATCCCTGCCAAAATATGAACCAGCAAGTGGATCTGCCACGGCTCAGTGACCAGAAGCAAACCAAAGAGTCAATTCAGATGCAAATTGTAATAGTCTAAGAAGTGAAGCCATGTGTGTGGCTAGTGGGTCTATAAACTGCTTTTTATTACAGATGGAAAGCGAGCCTGCTCCAACTTTTATTCTGTCCAGTCCACCCATTTTGTAGACCTTAAATGTGTTATCTCCCTATTACTTATATCTCAAATTTAGCAGGTTAATATGAGTTAAATAAGCTAGAGAGAGGAATGTTTCTCTTAGCAGAGCTTTGCAGTTCCAATTCTTTTTCTCTGGTGCTGCTTGCACTTGCTTCTAGTCTCTCTTTCTCTCCAGTGCCTGTGTGAGACAGCTGAGCAAGCAGAAATAGCAAACCAGGTCTGTGTATGGGCCCTGACTCCCTGCTGTGGAGCTATGAGGCTCTGCTCTGTTTCTGGATGAGACAGAGGCAGCTCTGGGAAACCTCCTTGGTCCTCAGCATGGAGCAAATCCCCTGCTCTTACCACATACTAATGACACTGCTCGTAACAGCCAGAGTTAGGACTGTGGAATCCAAGAAATACCTGTGCAAGAGCTGTGACAAGCATCTCACTGGATTTCTGCAGGGTTTGGCGGTTTTTATTAGTAACTTAATGAGCCCACCTTTTGACCCTGCTTTTAACTATTAAATCACTGTTCCCCACCCAGATGGCCCAGAGCAATGGTTGAGGAGCAGTTTGTCTGCATGTATGGTAAAGGAAGTCCCTGTGTGTCTTTGCTGTGATACTATCGCAGGGCCTTGCAGAAGGTTGGCTGGCTGGCTGGCATTGCTGGGTCGTGTTCTTTTATTTTACTTTTTTTCTCTCTTCCCCTCCAAGAAACCAGAATTGCTGCACCAGAGAATGAGTTTATTGCAAGTTTGGATCTCCCAGCTGAGAAAGCTTCAGGGTGAGGAACTAAGACCTCTTCTATTAGATGAAAGATGTGTGCAACCAAACATCAATACAGTTGAGAATATTGACATGTTTTTCTCTTTTGCCTTCAGAGGTATTAAGAATGAAAGGTCAAGTTCAGCCTTGATGTAAAGCTATTTGCTTTGGGTTTTGCTGGGAATGAAACTAATATAGTGCTTCCACTATATTAGTGGTGAGACAGTGGGTTCAAGACGAGTGGAACTGCCTGCACCCAGGAACTGGAACTAACTGCATCCAAAGGAGACAACAGAGAAGTGTCACGAGAATCACAGCTCTATGAGTTCCTCATCACAACACTACCCCTGGGGCCCCTGATTTCAACAGGGCAATGTGGGGTCATAACCATGAGATGTTCCTATGTAAAGCACTGCGGTTGCCAGCTCACATCCACGTGGCACACTTGGTTTCCTGTCTATGTGGCTTCACATCCAGCTTGCAGCTAGCTAAGCGGTGTCTCAAGGCATTACGGCTGATGCCTGTATTTATGAGATCTACTTGAACTTGTCTGAGCAAAGACTGCTGGGTTTTTGCACTCATACAACACGCAGCACCACAGGGCATCATCACAGACCTGGATCCAAGGTACTGCAAGCTCTAGAAGTAATAATGAGCTCTAATCTCAGGCTGTAAGGCAGTGCAGTTTCGCAGAGGAGGTGATGGGAGAAAGCACAGAGATGGAGAATGTGGGTGAGACAATACACAAGGCACTAATAATGGGTTTATCCAGCAGATGTTGTGTGAAGCTTTGATTTTCTGCTTGTTTTTTTTTTTTAAGGTTTAATGAAAAAAAATATTAACAAACTAGTAAACACTTTGAATTGTCATAACAGTTCACTCCTGCAACAACTCTGCTTGTTTGGTAATGAGTCAAGTACACATCCTTTTCATCAAGTGAGCAAAGCTCATTAATTAAACATACTGGATTGCAAAGCTCTCAATGTTTAATTGTTTGTTTAACAAGCAGTACATCTAATCCACCATTCAGACACACAAACAGCTAAAACAACAGGAAGAAGCTTCAAAACAGGACAGACAACATCTGGAAAAGTCAACAGCCTGTGCCTGCATTGTCAGTAACATGTAAAGCAAACGTTCCACTCAGAACAAATACACACAGGAAGCACCCCTGAGTTCATCCTGCAGATTCCTACTCAACAAAGCAGCTTCCTTGCCCTGAGAACAGATTTATCACAACAAGGGAGCCTGGTCTAGTTTTATTTTCCCTATCTTTTTCCATTCCCAACCAAATCAAGTCTGGTGCACGGAGGCATTCAGCAGTGCCTGCCCCCCACTATGTAAGTACTCTTTGTTCTGCATGGAGATGGAGAGCAAAGACAAGACAGAGACACCTGAGTGAGGAGAAGCAGGACAAGCTGTCCCAGGATTTGCCATGCTGCCTTGACTACAGTCAAGCTGCCACCTAGGTCAGCTGCTGTGCTGCAGTGTGCTTTGTAGCTAAACCCTGAAGGTGAGCTTTCCACTGTTCATCTGAACCAGCCTTTGCTGTGCACCATCTCTCTTATCCTCCTTGACAGCTCTGGTTTCCACAAGAAGAAAAAGCAGTGCTTAGGCTGGAAGGGAGCAGGTCCACGATCTGAACCACCAGGAGACAGGACCATGGGGCGCAGTGTGGAGTAAACCTGCTCTGCAGCATTGACAAGCTTTATGCTGTCAATATTTGGGTACAAGCCTGTGAATGAATTTGGGCTAAGGCTTTTCCAGGACTACTTCCACATCAGATTTAGGGACTAAAAGGAGAGGGTTCCCTCTCACCACTGCTTCCATCTTTATGTTCCTCAAGGATCTGAAAACAAGTGCTTCTCCTTAGTAACTTTTGAACTTTTGACCACTCTTCTCCACCTGGGTAGTCCTCAGCATCCCTTCCTTCACACCACCTGTACAGATACAGGGAGTACACTGCATTTTCCATAACAATAGGCACATTATAAAACCACTAGATATGGTACCCAACAGAAGGATCTCTACACCTTTGGTGTTCTATCTATGGAGCATGTAACTAAGAATTACAGATGGATCCTGCCTCTCTCTTACTGAAGGGGAGTCATGTCCTGAACACACCAGTCCGTCAGCTTCCCTCTTCCTTCCCAAGGTTAGGAAAATCATTTTTCTTTCGGCATTTGCTGGATAGTTTTTATTCACTTGCCTCACACAAAGGGTGCAGCAAACTGAAAGCTGCCTCCTCCCACATCGGAGACACATTTGCAGAGCTCAGATATTTTTAGCATAGTGCACACACAGAGTTATATTGTTTGTGGTCTTGGTTAAGGAAAAAAAAGGAACAGGCAATTTTCTACACTAAAATTCTTTGTGCCTTCCTGCTGGGAGCAGGGAACTGGTCAGCTTGCTGAAGCCATTGGAAATCTTTTCTGTACTCCAGAGATGACAAACAAAATGACCTGGTACATATCACAGCAGTGGTTGAGCCTGTCCAACAAGGCAAACTGTTGCTGTCAATGTTAG